GAGGAAAAATGGATCCTCCTTGTTTTTCACTCCCACATTTCCTTTCCTCAGCCTGAAATTCACTGTGCTTTTTTCCATCAAGTCCCCACCTTGGCCACTCCATCATACTTTTGGGGTGATCCTGTGGTTCTTCCTAACCTGCTGGGGAGTCTGCTTTGGGTTCAGGCAGCTCTCTGTCCTCTCAGCTGGTTCAGATTTATCCCAGGGTTCTCTTTCTCCTTTTTTTAATCTGTATTGGTAGTACTGGATATCCCAGTTTACTTTTGGCCTTGCCTACTGGGAATGTCAAGTGAGGATAAAATTAAACTGTGGGTAGACAAAACATAAGGAGGTTTCTACAGTGAAATATGATACATATTAAAATCAACTCATTCATTAGCACTCACATTGTGAATTTATTAAAGGCTCTTAGTCAACAGACAGAGTTCCTAGTTCAATGTCTAGTGCTGCAAACAGCTGCTTTCTGCTTACAAAATAAATGGCATCTTCCACTGAAAAAAAGAAAAAATATATAGGGATTTTTATTTCTTTCCAACAAAGTCTACAAAAAAGTCCTTTGGCACCTTACACGTACAGCAGCCACAGCCTGCTTCAAGTCATTGTGTTCACTAAAGGGCCTCCTTGTACAAACACTGTTCAACACACAAAATCCTCCTTCTCATTTCTGCATATTAATTTATGCTGACATCAGAAGAATTTGGATAACATTTCTTAAAATGCCTTTAAATTCTTAGCTCACACTGAGATTCCTGGGCAGTGCTGAGGTCTGTGCCTAGAGCTCAGCTGTGATCAAAGTTGCTCACGCAATAGCAATATCGAAACAAGGAATGGGAGCGCTCCATTGGAATGGACCCTACATCCAGGCCCTCTGATCAGGCCAAAACACCTTCTGGCCTGGGATCAGTGGGCATTTAGAACTACTCCACCATAAAGAGAAACAGGAGGAATTCTTTAAGGAAGTAGCAAAATTAGAAAGCCAAAGTGTTTCTGCTCTTCAGGAGAACGAAATTAAACCAAGCAGTAAAGTAGAGCAGGAAAGGGGATGGAACGGGAGCGTGATGTGATCCAGGGAGGCAGGTGCATCCAAGGGCTTCAGCTGGGCACCTCGGAACGCTGCGTGCTGGAAGGTGACTCGACCATTACGCAAACTAGCACCACGTAAATCAGGAGAGAGGCAAGAACCTGTAAACACCTGCTCAGAGCTGGAAGATTTCTGCAGCTTCTTATTCGTTATTACAAAAGACACACAGCTGTTTTTCTAAATATAGAAAAATGGACAGTAGAAATTACTACAAAGCACTCTGGATTACTGGGGTATAAACAAGGGCAAGCAATGCTTCACTTTTTAGTGCAAATGCTATTTACAGCATCGTTCCCTGCACTAATTTTCGCAGTTACACAACATGTTACTGTTCCACAGAGTCGATAGGACTTTGGAAGTGTAAATGAGGAAAGGTCTCAGTCACAGCGACAAATTAAACGACCACATGCAATTACTGTGAAATCAGAAAAAGTATATTTATACCACACATAAAATTGAGCTTCTTTATGATGATACTCAAAGAAAGTAAGTGCAAATAGATCCTTTAGAAGACAGGGGTAATAATTACTGATTACACTATGGTTAGGCTGTTTATGTCTAAAGTATCAAGTGCAATTCTACAAGGTCTTAAGCCATGTTTTAATAGCAGCCATTGATTGATCTTGCTCCTGAAAAACATTCTGGTTTCTAAGTTACCAAACATCACATTTTATTCTGTTAACTTCCATTTATTTTTATTTGGGAAAGAAGCATATTTCGCAGCACAGTGGGCATTATATCAATTTCTTTCATAGTGATCCCAGAGTAACCTCTACACTAATGACATCTGAATTAAGAACAACAGAGCAAAAGATTTTTCACTCACAACCTCCCAGCAGACAAATAAATCAATAATCCAGAATTATTTGGCTCTTTCATAATTCCCCATATAAAATAACGACTTTATGCTTGATGTAAGAGTAAGATGACTAATCCTGGCTGTTGTGGAAAGCAGCTGTTTGCTAAACCCATCTTCAACTCACTGCAAATGAAAATGTCATCTGTAAAGGTCTCTCATTTTTTTTAGGATAATTCATCACAGTGATTAGGCACCTCCTGAAGCAAGACGTTATCGACTCCTGGTTTGGAAGAGTTAATTCACTGTGCTGCAAACTGATGTAAAATGGAGGAATTGCAGGGAAAGAAAGTTTTAGCTTTCATATGAAAAATGAGCAGAATGAAGCTGAGAGAGACATCAAAAGGAGCTTTTTATAGAAAGCACTCTGTAAAGCTGAATCACAGAATCACAGAATCAATGAGGTTGGAAAAGACCTCTGAGATCATTGAGTCCACCCTGTGACCCAACACCACCTTGTCAACCAGACCGTGGCATGGAGTGACACATCCAGTCTTTCCTTGAACACCAGGGACGGTGACATCTCCCTGGGCAGGCCCTTCCATTGTCTAATCACCCTTTCTGTGAAGAAGTTCTTCCTAATGTCCAACTTAAACCTCCCCTGGCCCAGCTTAAGACTGTGTCCTCTTGTCCTGTCACAGGCTGACTGGGAGAAGAGGTTGGACCCACCTGGCTACAACCTCCTTTTAGGGAGTTGTAGAGAGCAATAAGGTCACCCCTGAGCCTCCTTTTCTCCAGGCTGAACACCCCCAGCTCCTTCAGCTGCTCCTCACAGGACTTGTGCTCCAGACCCTTCACCAGCTCCGTTGCCCTTCTCTGGACTCACTCCAGCCCCTCAATGTCCTCCTGAACTGAGGGGCCCAGAATTGGACACAGGATTGAAGGTGTGGCCTCACCAGAGCTGAGTACAGGGGGACAGTCACTGCCCTGGTCCTGCTGGCCACACTATTTCTGATCCAGGCCAGGATGCCATTGGCCTTCTTGGCCACCTGGGCACACTGCTGGCTCGTGTTCAGCTCCAGTCTCCCTGTTCACTCCCAGCACTCTGCTCAGCAGGAACACTGACCCACGACTGGGCTGATGTGATGCTTGGGCCCTTCTTACAACACCTCCAGCTGAGCTGCCCACCCTTGCAGCACCCAAACCACATCAAATGTTACTCATGGGCCCTGTTATTTGCTTTCCTTCCAGTAAATCTTCAACACACATCTTTATACAAAGGCAGGCTATATCCCAGAGACCCTGAGGTAACAGAGAGAATGCAGTTCTGGTTGGGACAATGCCTAATTGAAAGTGCTGCCACTTCTTCCTGTAGGTAAAGGGATAATCTTGGCCTCCAGACATTTTTTTCCTGGCAGATTTGGATTTCCAGAGACTGAAAATCTTGTAGTCGATCTCTCCATATGTACAGTCTTTAAAGAGAACTGAAATAGATGGCAGAACTGAAAAATAAGACTGACACAGTAAATCACAATGATTTATGAGCATTTAAGGATATGGGAAAATTTACTTGTTCCCATTTATTTAAAAATAAATACATTACTTATTTATAGTCTTCATTCTCATGCAGCACAGAGTACTTTGGTGCTGTCTCGCCAAATTGAAGTCATTGGATTTTACCAATTATAGGGTCAAATTCTTGTATCCCTTGCATGCCTGTGTAAGCAGTTTCAGAGGGATGCAGTACAGATTTTAGATATTAAAACCCTATTCTATTAGTCATCCTAATACATCCAACCAATACAGAATTAATCACCGATTTTTCCATGTCTTTTCCTGTCTAGTTTAAATGTTCAAAGGAATGATTTATGCTGCCACGTAGACATCAGTAACTAAATGTTTGCTAATAATTAGCCTGAATCTTGTATTTTTAAATTTCATCTATTTTCTTTCATTTTACTTAATGAGTTGCACTTTAGTTCCCTTTCAGATGCTGTAGGGCTCCCTCAGTCTATCTGCTTCAATTGTATATCAATCCTGAATATTTAAGCCCGTTTTAGAAGTACACACAAGCATGTGGCAAATTTGGGAATGGGATAACCAGGAAGCACAGTAAACACTGTCAATATTCCCTTTTTTTACCTGATAATTTTAGTCTCTGAAACTGTAAACACATAATGTCAAACCTTGGGATCCAAACCTTAGGGAGCTCAGTAACTCCACCCACTCCTCAAGAGATTGCTAATTAAGATAATCAGTAACAATTTCATGTTTAGGGTTTTTTTTTTTACATCTTGCTGTTTAAATAATAACTTTTAATCTCCCTGCCAGTTTTCTGTTCTTTTGTAACTTCCCTAGTTATTTTTCTGCTAACAAGATGAAACTGAAATCAGTATTTCAAATGTGATCACAGAAGTTGGCCAGGAGTACCACAATTTGTTGTTTTCAGTCTGCTTTTGCACTATTTCATTCCTCTCTGGTGTTTGCATGTCAGAATTTATGTTAATTTACAATAATCAGCTTCCTTCCTTTTTTTCCTAAATGACTTATCAGTTTCCTTCTTTTGAAATAATTACAAAACTAGCTGGGCAAAGGGCACGTGGCTGGGAATACAAAAATTTTGTGCAAAACTATTTATCAATTAAACAAATGAGTCTGAACTACAAAAGTCCGCAGAAAGTCTGCAGGAAGACCATCAGACATAAAAAAAACAGCAAAAGAACATTTAAACTACCAAAAAAACCCCCACAAACCTTGGACAGAAATATAATTTGGGATTATGGACATCTACTGTAAAGAGAAAACACCACAGAGTGTATTAATACAAAAGGAAGAAAACAGTAAAGACTTCATTAAAATTCTTGAGATAAAGAATCTTCAGGGACATCAGAATCCTGAGTATGGCCTTCTCCCTGCAAAGTCTGTTTTGTGTCACTTAGCTGAGAATGAAAAATGAATTTACTCTGTTTTAATTAAATAATCTACAGGCATTTGGAACCATTATTAATTTATGTTTGGCTGAAAGTAGCAGTGAAATTTTGAAACATATGAGAACAAATTAAGGTTATAAAGTTCAATATTTGCATGATTACTTTGATTTATGGGAATAAAACCAGCATTTTTCCCCCTTGTCACAACACTAGGAAGCTACTTACCTATTGCACAGTTCATTAATTGTTTTTTCCTTATTTGGTGTCTGATTTTGCAAAAATGGATGTGGCAGAAAACATAACAAGACACATGAACAGAAATGCCAGACTATTTAACTAGATGTAGCAGCAAAAGAACAAAAAGAAATCATATTTTATAGAGGATCCTATGAATGTTTATTTGCCTGCTTGACAACAATCAAAAAGTGGATAAAATGTTAAAAGAACCTGCATCATTGACTAATAATAAAAATTCTTGGGAGTTTTAAATTACTTTCATGTCCTGCACTTTGTGATGTACTAATGTTAGGCCTGTTGATGATCCTCAGCCCTCTGTGCTGCAATGATCATTTAAACAGCATCCAGTCAGATAACAACTACTTTTAGTTCACTCTAGTTTTCCTATATCCTGCTCAACCTTTTATTCCTTAAACATGATTTGCTTTAGCCTTTTCTGGCTGCATTTATACTGGGAAGTTGTAATAATGTGTCTTTACATCTTCTCCACAAGACTTGTCCTGTTTGTTTTGGCTTTCATGGAATGAAATACTTTGCAGTATTTTGTGTTCTCATCATATCGAGTTGAAATCTCGTGGAGGCTGATTCACATCTTGGAACCTGCACGGTGTGAACAGCTGGCACGGTTTGCCCTGGTAATTCCCCTGTCCTCTGACAGCTGATTCCTGATCCCATGGAAGTTGGTGGAAAATCCTTCACTGATTTCAGTACAACCAGAATTTGTCTCTGACCAAAACACGATTAATATGGGGAAAAAAAGAATCCAAGTAACTTAAAGACAAATGCACAAAACACCACGTCAGTTTTGACGTAGCCCTCTGATGCACAGATAGGTCACTAATAAAGTATTTAACCTCCCTGTACACCTATTTGGAAAAAAAACCAACAGAACCACCTGAATTTGGAAAGTTCCACCTGCTGAACTGTGATGCAGCAGTGTGAGCCTGATTTATCATTTTATTAGCAATGCAGAGGAACAGGATATTTCCCAATAGCTGGTGTTTATACATCGCATTACATGTCATGTCACAAATGCGCAGTCCCCAAATATTTTTGTTTACAAGCTGCCACATGGAGAAGCCAACTGGCATGTTGTTTAGATACTGATTTCTGACACGTGCTTTGTATACAGAAAACCCGGATTTATGAAATGTGAGATGGAAACTTGTCAGGTTTTTTTCAACATATACAAAAATAACTGACAGCACATAAATCACGACAACATCCGCAATACATTCCGAAAAGCTTGGACTGCTCAGTTTTAAAATTTGCTGTGATTTTGCAAAATAATATTTTTTAGTTGGTTTTGGATTAAATTTCTTATAATTTATGCAAAACATTAATATGCTGGATGGTTTATGGACAAAAAAAGGTTGATAATCCAAGTCTGATGCAGTAAGATTGTGAGTGAAATATGACAGTGAGGAGACAGAGAGGAAGACTAAAAGCTACAGCCCTTCAATCCATAACTCAGAAACCATATGTGCATCTTGTCAACTCGGATGAAGTATTTTAAAACATATTAAATGTGGGCTAATACAGTGGCTAAAGTTTGTGCAACTTGTCCTCAATTGACCTGGGTGGAGCTTTGCTAATTTACAGTAGAAATGGCAGAGAATTTTTAAGAAAGACAAAACTACTGTTATTCTGTACGAAATAACTGTAAACCCTTTAAATAGGGTATTTTCTCAAGTTGAAAAATTCCAAGAATAAGTATAAAAACTTTTTTTTTCTCCTTTGTTTTGTTCTTCTTTTACTCTTTCCTCTTTTTACCCTCACCCTTTTTTTTCTCTCTCTTCTGATTTGCCTCAGAAAAAAAAGAATGCATAAGGACAAATAAGGAGGATAAAGACGAATATGGCAAGAGTTTATAATTTTTTAGTTTCACTGAAGTTAAATGAAAATGATAAAACACAGAAGTTCCCACAATAATTTGTTAGGTTGTCTTTCCACTGAAAATGGCAACAGAATAAAAGGTTGATGTAGATGAGGTAAGGTCTAACAGTCTAAGAGGGGGTGTCTTATACATTTTGTTTTGCAATTTCTAAAAGTGACTCAGAACACGGGAAACTCAGAGTAAAATTCATCAACTTGATCTAATGGCTTTGTCTGTCTGAAAAGAGAAAACATCTCCTGCATCAGGGGGAGCACAGAAAAAAAGCCTCTGGAAGAAGCAGCTTGACAGAGCTCTGAGAATGGCATTAACCATCAATGAAAAGTAAGTGCCAATGAGACTTGGTTGAGTAATTAGACAGGGACAGAGTTAAGAAGAATTTGAAAGCTGAGATTGCCCATGTTGCAAATACCTTTCAAGTGCTGAATAATCTTTAAAGTTGCCAATCTTCCTCCATGACATGGTCTTGCTTATTCCTGCAAAATCACGGCTTTTGTTGCCGTCACTGCCAACAAAAGCACAACAAGCAGGGTAACAAATTTACTGTTTGTTAATTACACAGTAAAATGCATGAAAAAAGCACATATTTTCTTTACAAGAAATCACAGTTATAACTTAAATTTTAGGTGTAAATCAGGATGGGACACAAATTATGCCAGATGAAACATGATGCAGCCTCAGACTGACACCATCCAACAGCACAAGCAGACAAGACCTGGGCTTTAGTCCTCTGAGCCCTTTGGGGATGGTCATCACCATCATTACACGTAACGCTCTGACATTTTCCTACAGAAACAAGACCGATTTGTAATGGAAAAACAAATGGACAGAGAAAACTGAAGCAGAATTGGAAGATTTTTTGGGGGTTTTTTCTGGGCACAGCACCACAGTGCTGAGAACTTCCCTGGCTTTTAAAGATTATTCCAAGTAAAGCATTTGGTGTATGATCCATTGTGCCCCATGAGCCTATTCTGTAAAGAGTGTGACCCTGAGCACTCCTCCCCTTTTCTCCAGGCATTACATCCTCCTGCACAGAGTTCCTAACACTTCCTGCACGTCTGTGACCATCCTGCCCTTTGCAGGTACCTGCTCTTCACTGATGGTTCCTGGCAAGAATTTCTTTTCCTGTGTTTTTGTCACAAGAGAATAACCCACGTTCTGAAGCCAACTACTCTGCCTGCACAAATGCTAAGTAGCTTTTCTAGCATCCAGTAGGATATTTCACTGCAGTAAATGCATTATTTTCCAAATAAATTACTCTGGAAATTAACAGTTCTCTCCCTGAATGATATAACTGTTGCTGACAGATTATCTGACAGCCTAGATGTCAAAATATTTTTTGCAGCGTGTGCTTGCAAAATCTTCCAAATGTTAAAAGTGACTGTCAGGATTTTGAGCTTGGATGAAGTTCACTTAATTTCAGAAAACAAATGGATTTTTATATATTATATTCAGTTGCTTTGTTATTGAAGTACAAATTGAAGTAAAGTGAGGGCAAAAACCCACACGAGAAACACAGACATTACCTGCCTTTTTCTAAGCTGAAACACTTTCCATTAAAAAGAGAGGTTACCTGTGGATAGGACTGAACAGGGGACTGGAGACAGGTCAAGTGGCAATGAAGAGCCTGTTGTGGGGAATGACACGATTTCTCCCTCTGCTTAGAAAAATGGCAGGACGTGCTTTGCATCAATTTTACAGTGTGACAAGGAAGAATCCTGGAAAAACACACTTGTGGAGCACACGCATCTCCCCTAAAAAGAGTTAGATATCCAAAGGCTGAGCAGAGAACTGTGCAGGGATTTCCATTACAAGGCTGTGGAGGGTGGCCAAGGAAGGACAAAAAGAACAAGAGCCATCTGAGACTGTGTAAATAGGTTCAGCTGAAAAGTTATTTTTACAATATTGTTATTGATGTGAAAAAATAAACAATGGAAGCTTCAGGCATCAGTCTGGGATACAGGCTGGCTGGTTACCTCTATTCCCACACGTTTCTCATATGTACAGGAATGAAAGTCTGCCCCAATAACCTGCTGGAGGACTATTCTATCCAGACTTTCTTTAAATGGAAAAAGAGTTGTTGTTGTTTTGTTCAAGGATTGTGCCCCAGACTATAACATGCAAAATCATATGAAAGCAAAAGGTGGTGCTGACAGAAAGACTTTGAGAAACTCCTCGTGCAGTACCCGCCCTGCTTCTCCCTGCATTAACTGTTGCAGGTAATTCCTATTTTTTCCTCAGGAATTTGAGACACTGCCATGCCAGCAGTATCCAAGCTTGCTCCCATGGCAAAAGCTGACTCTGTGCTGGGATGACTGCCTTGAAGTTTGTCTGCACACGTGCCACAGATTTGGGATCCAAATTTTGGACCCACGTTGTGCCGCGTGATGAGGACAGTCAGGAAAGGCAACGCTCCGAGCACGCTGCTCTTGGGAGAACTGTTCGTGCAGGTGATTGTTATTCCCTGCCTGGATCACAGGATACGGGGTGGCTGGGAGGGGGCCAAATGAAGTGCTCTGGTAGGTCTCAGTCTCCTTCTGAGGAAAGAGTAATAGATTTTCCTGAAAAGAAGTCATGAGGAAATACGACAGGAAGCCTTTAATGATCTGGTTAAGAGATAAGACAAAACATTGCTGGGTATCTCTTTATGATTAAATATCTTTTGTAATTGTTGGAGTCTGTCCTAATTAGCTTTGATACATCAGAGGGCTGCTTTGTGAGCTGTTTGGTTAAGACATGTTGTTCTGTTCTACTTCCTTTCAGATGTTCTACGGATAACATTATTAGGCTCACCTTTTTGTTCATTCACTACACTATTTCTGTGCTAGTAGGACATCACACATATGCTCTTAATTTGATTAAATCTCTGAATAAACCGTCCAACTTTAAAAAAGAGATTTATCTCATTCTATTTCAGCACTTGTGCATCCTCTGATTCCCTGAAAGTTTTAACTGGTTCATTAAAGCATGGGTGTATTTGAATTTGCACCTCCCTTTCTTGCAACCTGTTAAAGTACCCAGTATTTTACTATAAGTTGTCCAGCTAATTCTACCAATACACAAAGAAATAAATAAACTAATTAACTAATTCTATTCTAATCTTTTCAGACTCTGTATCTTCACTAGGAAGTCCACAATATGGATCCTATTTTCATCTTGAACCTCTCGGTTCTTTGCAATTAACACCAAGATCCAAAATGCTGCCTCCTGTACATTTCACAGCAAGAAGTTATTTATAGAACCCGATGGTTTAGATTAAGCAAAACTCTGCTGAAACTGGAGGATGCAGTTACACCAAATTCTGAGGATAAAAGTGAGAAGCAGTTGCACTTCTTGGAGGAATTAGAACCTGTCACACATCGTAGCTCACACGGCAAACTGTATGATGGATGCAAATGGATTTTGCTGGGACCTGAACACTGACATGGCCCAAGGTAATGAGCTGTGTATTCTTTAGAGGAAGAGTATCTTTGAGCAGAAAAAGACGCTACAAAATTGAAAACAGCCAGAAAAGTGATGGAGCGTTTTTCTAGAAAACATTTGGAACTCTGAACAGAAACTCTCCCGATTTCCTCCTGTATTTCAAACCAGCTCAGTTGTTTCTGCACAGGAATATGGCTTTGTGGGCTCGGTGAAGAAATATGTTTGCCTGTGAAGAAACACGCTCAATAAATTTAATTTACTAAAGAAACCTATCTGCAAGACCATGTAACTGTTTACATCAAAAGAAGTAACAATGTGTTAGAAAATAATCAGAAATTTCCACAAAGCAGAACTTCATTTATCTCTGAAATAAAAAGTTAACCAATTTCCACACATTGCAACAAATAAGCCTGTACACTTCCATTTCCTCAATATATGGTTGGTTTCATTAAATTTTACTGAGCTAAATCTTATGTGTTCCTCATCAATATAAATTTGGCCAATCTGCAGAATCTGAAATGCTCTCCCTGATGTAATTTTACAAGTTACACTGAAGTCATTAGCTGGTATTATTCTTCCATTTTAAATACCCACAGGCATGATTCTAATTTCGAGTACACCAGTTAAGCTTCTAATACAAACAATTACATGTTCATGGGGAAAAACTTTCTGAATGTTAATGTACAGCAGGAATCTCACAGTGCACGTATTAAGGCTGCAAAGCAAGGAGATAGTTGTTAAAAGTTTAATTTCTAACCTTTAACCTTCATGGTCTTTATTGTTTATTCATCATTATTTTAAACACTTTCCTGAATTGACATCTATGATTCCCGATTCCATAATGGAAACATTTCAAAGCTGTGCTTGAGAGGGAGTGGTTAGCTCAGGAAGATAATCTTAATACTTCTAAACTTAAGAATTAATATATTCCGAGGATTATTTTCCTATATAATCTACCAATTTTATAATTTGGTAGATGCTGTTTCCTTTTTAGCCTTCCCAGCTGTACAGAACTTGCTCCTTTTAGACCAGTAGGAAAGAAATGTGTACACTTCTGTGTGTACATAAGTAAGCTGGCAAGTATTATCTGGAAAAATGAGTTATTCCTCCTTGTGTGTGGATCAGGGTTTTGATTCCCAGCAACAGCTGCTCCATCAGTGCAGGAACAGCACAAAAAGAGAGATCGTGATAAAGACCAGCAGCAATTTGTCCAACTCTTCCAACTTAAATCTCACTAATGGGCAACCAAATTAACAATTACTCAGAGGTAGTAAGGACTTAGTAGCAGGTCATTTCTATGGCTCATGAGCTTTTGTAGGTACCAGGTTTTTGTAATTTTAAACTTGTTTTTTATTACTCTGATAGCAATCTGCAATCAACCTCACAAGATTCAATCATCTTACTGTGTTGGCCAGCAGTGCACCAGCTCCTCAGGCACCGCTAGGAATGGGCTGGACATCCTTAAAAAAGAATCTCAGGATTCCTCACAGCAGCTGTCAGCAATGATGCAAGATTTATTAACAAGACAAGTTTTAACTGAATTCCATAAGATAATAATACAATCACTGTACCACCCATTTTGGCATTTAATTTCATATTAAAGATGTTACCTTTAAATATTTTTCAGTGTGCCACACATTATGGCATGGGAATAATGACCATAAAAGTTGTCTGGAGCTTTCAGCTCCCCTCTGGAAGTTTGTGTGGTTTTATTTGTTGTGGGGGTTTTTGTTTGTTTGTAGGGTTTTTTTGTGATTTGTTTTGTTTGGGTTTTTTTCTGTTTGTGTTTGGGGTTTTTGCTGATTTTTTTTCTGTGGTGGGGAGGGAGGGGAGCTGGTTTGTTTTTAGCTGAGGTCATCTCAATGACTTTGCCTCAGTTTCCAGCATGGCGTTGTAACAGTTAAATCAGTGTTGCTGAGGGATGGCAGAGGGTTGGTAACAGTGGCTGGGAAGGGATTGTCAGAGGCAGGGGTTGCTTTCCCCAAATTCACGTCATGTGACCCCATTCTGAGGCACCGTCATTTTGGTTACCCAGCTGTGTAATTTTTGACAAAGTGCTGACACAGTCATTTGTTTGGCTAAGACTGGGGAGAAAACCCAAATCCCACGTGATGGTTTCTGCTTTTTGCCAGACACGTTGTCATTTTAATAGAACATTTGTGTTCTACACAACCAGAGGAAAACTACGACAGCCACAAGAGGAAGAGCTGGAGTAAGGGACTGGTCAAGAACTGGCTACAGAAAAGGCCTCTGTCCAACCAGTGGCCAAACCCACCTCGTGCCTTGGCTCTCTTCTCTCCTCACCACCTTGTTCACAGAATCACAGGATGGGTCAGCCTGGAAGGGACCACAGTGGGTCATCTGGTCCCACCTCCCTGCTCAAGCAGGGCCATCCCAGAGCACGTGGCACAGGATTGTGTCCAGACAGCTCCAGAATATCCCCAGTGAGGGACATCTCACATCTTTTCTGGGCAATCTGTTCAGTGCTCGGTCACTGCACAGGAAAGAAGTTCTTCCTTATGTTCAGGTGGAACTTCTGGGCATCAGTTTCTTCCCATGGCCTCTTGTTCTACTCCTGGGCACCACCAGCTCCTGACGGATTCTCTCTTTCTTTTATGCTGCCAACCCACCCACTCATGGCAGGGTTTAAAACCAAACCCCTCCACCTGGGAGACAGAACCTGTAATCCTCCTGCTTCTGTGTCCCATGCTTTCTTTGCAGACCACTGACAGATAGCACTTGCATTGCAAAATTAATAACCCTAAATAGATTTGAAAAAATTCAGTTGGTTCATAAGAGAGGCTTAACAGTAGCTATGAAAGAGTTCTTAACTAAGGATACACATTGCATTTAGTTATGTTTTCAGAGAGACTTTGCAGGATGTCTCCAGATGTAACAGAAACCAGGAACAACCCTGAATTTGCAAGAAAACCTGTGTCTTGTCTGATTTCCTGAATAAAGTTCCGATAAAAATCCAAACTTCGCAAGATTATCTGAACTGATCCATTAAAAATGGGACTTTACTGAGCAGAAAGTCTCTTCAGAAGGTATTCCAGAACCTGCAGGTGCGGCTTCTTGGCATGGTGGGATTACTCATTAAAAATATGCCTGCACTGAAGGGACATGTAATAAAAACAAAACCAACCACTTAATAAAAAAAAGAACCAATGACATGATTGACAATAGTATTTAAATTTTAAAATAACACATTTGTCCTCCATTTTGTACAGTAAACAACTGTAACCTGAGCAGAACCAGTGTAAATTTCTTAAGATTATCCCCCAGTCATTTTTTTATAACTACCCTTGGGAAGAAGAAATGTATTCAAGTACTTTCAAAACTTTTGATGTTTTGAAAATAGAGCCAATTGCATCGTTACTTGCATGGTCTCTAGACCTCCAGTCACTTGGATTCCTATGTGTAAGCCTGTGAATTCAACAGGGGATGTGGATTTTTTTGACTGAGAGGAGGAAATATTAGAGGGACTTTCTTCTCATTGATACTAAGAAGGCACTGGACAAGCATTTTGTCATATAAAGATTTAAATCCGCAACTTAGTGAAATTTTGTGTATTCAGTACTGGCAGAAAAAGCACCAATTTAAGCGAATCAAGGCTTTGGAAAACATTGCCCGTTCTCAGTGAAGTTTCCCGTTGCTGCTCCTTCTCCCAAGAGCATTTTGTCCCATTGAGACCAATGGTAATTTCCTTCCTCTCACTTGGCTTTCAGTTTGGGATTATATATCCATGGAGAGAAACACTCTGTTTTAACTTTCCTCACAAGAGTAAACCACCACAGGGCTTGTTATAGCCAAAAAACCAAACCAAAACACCACTAGAGAAGAGCTCACAAACTGACTTCAGTAGTACTGAGTCTCTTTATATAAATGCACAACTACAAACATTCAAACATAAACCAAACTACGCCTTGAGAAATTTTAAGATGGGAAATTCTCTCAACCATTCCTAAGGATTTCCTGTTTCACAGGTTCCCAAGTGAAGTGCAGCTGATGGGTGGAGGAAGCAAGGGGAAAACATACTTAAAGGCAGGGATAGCTTTTGGTTTTATGAATGTCAAGCTGATGGTGGAAACCGCTTGTCTTCCTCACACCATCCTGGTGTGCTCAGCTCTGTGATCCAACTCTTACTGACAGTGGAGCACAAACCACTAGAGAAGTTCTAAACATAACCTACCTCTTGATAATAGCCATTTTATATTAAAAATGTGAAAATTTCAGTTTGGTGTGTTATCTTCCACATTTACATGCTTTGGGTACAAGCCTGTCCTATATTCATTGTGTCCTAAGCATCAAATTAACAGGGTGCCACCTCATTTTGGGAACATTCAAAAATGTAAGAAATTAAGGGTGAGTTGCATGTCCTACAGCAACAGTCCTCAGACTCAAGCATCACGTTTTATTCTATTTGAAATGCCCCCTGACTCACCCATAGCTCTGAGGGAATCCTGAGCTGTGTTAAGAGGATGATGGAGAACTGTCCTTGTCTGTGCTTAGTAAGTGTAAGATGGAGCTTCTTGAGCCACTGCCTTAACTATGACAAACCCAAAACCCAACTCTGTCCCAAAAACACTTCTGCTATTTGCACCTTTAAGGTCTCATCTGTGCACAATTACAAGATTTAATACCTACCATTACTTGTGCAAAGTACCCGATTTTCAAAGTGACTGCCCAGGCAGATGTTGTATGAAATGGACAGGAGAGAGAGATTACAACCAAAAGACATTTTCAGATTGGTTATTGAAGGTTTTATCCTTTCAGACACCCACAAGAATGTTAACAAAAAGCAATATACAAAACGGATGAGGCTTTTAAAATAAAAAATTCTCAAATACTTTCTTGAAAAGATTTTTCTATGACACTAAATTAAATCCAGTAAGAGCACGTGACACCCTCTGCTCCACAAGAAAAACAAAAATATCAGATAATAATGTATTTTGAATAAATTGCATTCTGTCCCAGGATTTACAGAAGTTAACAAGATATCAACTCACCTAGTTCACTCAACATCACGAATGGCTCTTTTCAAATGCTTACACAGAAATCCTTTGCTCAGAGCTGGTTTACAAATGCGATTTACTTGTTTTTATCTACATGCCAGAAAACCAGTTGGCTACAAAGGTATCAGCCCAGCAACTTACATTAAGTCAGTACATACAAGCCCACTAAAGAAACACAAAGCTGGGGCTTCTTTTCCCCTCCCTGACAGCATTGGCCAAGTTCTATAAAGTTACAATTGTCAATCTGAAGAGAAGTTAATATAAACACAGCGTTTTACTTTCAGCTTCTCAACAGACACATTAAATTCCTGCACAGTGACGAACGCAAGAAATTCCACTTTCTCTGCAGTTTTGGAAAAGCAGAGATCCTTGTTTGTGATCCTCTTCTGTCAAACAGGTGAGTTCTTCAGAAGGTGGCAAGTGGCAAGTTGCCAGATCTGGTTCCTAGAGGGAGGGCAGACACTTACTCACTTACCTTCCAAGACTATTCCCACAAATGAAAGCAGTCCATGTTTGGAATACACATGAATGGACACCATCAGAGCTGCCAGGGGCGGGAGGTACAGGCAGGACTGTAAATAAAATTAAAAACCTACTAACAGAAGCAGCGTAAAGGAACCACTTCCTGCACAAGTGTAATTTTTTGTATCATTTATTTCTCCAGCTCTGCAGAAACTGTCAGTATTACAGATCTATAGAGCACAAAAAACATGATACAGTGGTAGCTTTTCTAGAAGTCTCTTCTTCTTTGGTCAAACTTATCAAACAGGTCAGACATGCAGAGAATGTCTCTCACACAGCAAATCTACAGAATATCCAAAACCCCCAGATTTCTGAATTTCATGAGCAGCTCAAAATACAGTCAGGGTCATGTATATGAATTCATGGTTTTCCATGTTGCTGCAGAGTGATGGACATTGGTATTTACCTGGTAACTGTGGGCACTTCTTATGACCATGAAGTACCACTGAAATTCCAGATGAATTTCAGCATTAAGCCTTTCAGAGACAATTCAGGTTTTAAAGTCACGTTTACCAAGGGGAATAGAGGGCAATACACAAAAATGACTGCAAGATTTAAGCAAGACAGAACAACACTAATTAAGGTCTATAACTAAAGCATTTAGTAATAACTAGTTTCTTAATACTTTATGAAAGAAAAATACCCTTTTTTCTTTATAGTAACACATTTCCTAGATCAGCTCACTTTTACTCCCCTCACCACCCAAAGTCAGTACAGTATTTCTGAGACTGAAGAGTAATTTTTTCATCAATGTAAGGATAAACAGTATCAGAATGACTTTTTTCCCTAATATTTTCTATTTTCAATAATAACTCTTCTACAAATGCACTGATTTTCCTTATTGCCAGCAAGAGCATTTGCCTTTTTGTGCATTTTGGGGGAAAAAATAAATCAAACCAAACCAAACCCCTTGGGTTTTATATCAGTTTCCCCCACTTTCTTGACCACGATACACTGTCAAAATATAACACAGATCACACAACACTCATCAGAACTTTAATGAGGGAAGTACAAAGAAAATGTAATTTGCAGATCATTTTATTGTGAACTCCTGGACAATACAGGAGCTACTGCTAAAATACAAAAATGAAGTACTGGGGTTTTTTTTGTTCCCAATTTCAAGAACAAAACAGTTGAACAATTCAAGATTTTCTGCTTTTACCTTGGAGTAAATGAAGAAGAGAGCAGTAAGGAAAACAGATGCAGAAACAAACCATGTGTTAATAAAAGTGGGAGGTTAAATGAAGGGGATGGTTTCTCCCTGACTGACCTATTGTCATGTTGTATTACTTTAAGCTGCTTTCCCTTATATACCAATACTCACATATTTTGGGCAACTTGACTAAAATTTGGCAAGATGGCAAAAATGCAGGCATTAGATTTATCTTTTGTAAGACACAAAACGGTACCCTGTGAGTTCTCTTGGTTTGCCTGCTTTTTCTTTGCTGTTTTTCAGTTGTGTCACACACATCCAAGGTTGTTGTCCTGTCACATTTCTCCTGGGCTACTGCAAAAGGATTTGCCTTATAGTCTGAGGTCCTCTGAGCCATTCTGAGCGTGATGTTGACTGCACACCTCAAAATCCTTTCTGAACAGCAGTGTCAGCAGAGATCACAGGTGCCTCCTGAGCTGCTTCAGACTCTTGTGTGAAGGGGATGACCGCTGCCCTCACCTCCTCAGCAGCTCATGGCTTGCAGCTGCCAAGAACTTAAAAAAGCAGGAATGAAAGCCCAGTTGGAACTGATATGCCCAACTTCAAGCACCTTACTTTTTCTAAGGGCTGAAATGATGAATCTTGCTGGAGGTGACTACCTAGTAAGTCTTGTACTACAGAATGCCATAAGATTTCAATTGTATCCAGTAGGGACTGATCTACTTCAAATTTGCTACCTGACTTTGAAGTGACACCAAATATGTTAATAAATAATCAATAGTTTCTCTAAATCCTTATTCTTGGAAACAAGCATCTGAGAATGGACCAGATGGGGAGGTCAGACAGTAAGAGAATCACAGTCATCCTCTCAAGCCAGAAAACCCTCATGAAGCAAGTCTGGCTTTTCAATAGACTTGGTATGACCACAGAAATGTTGCACTGAACCTTTGCCCTCTGGTAAAGCAAAAGCTACAGAGACATAGAAAATAAAGCCAATTTGTCCAGGAAAAAATGTGGTTTTGAGAAAGCAGGTTGGTGGTACCTGCCTTGTTGACAATGGCAAACTACACATTTGATTTCCGGAGTTGATGGCAGTAAAATGTAATACTGATGTGAAAGCAAAAAAAAAAGCAGACCTGAAAGCTGGTCATCCTTTCCCTGTTCCATGCTACACAAAGTTCTTTTCCTGGGATTGTGTCCCTATATATGTGCTCAGGTTCATCCTATTTGTCAGTGAACCCAAATGCTTGAGATCTCACAACTACCTTGGACATCAATAAGATGACAGCTTGAATCCCACTGTTGGAGCAGAGTCTTCCTTCCAAATCAGCTTCTTCTGGCAGTGACTTCAGGAGTTGTTTTCAGCTTAGCAAGGCATCAGGTGATGTGTATTTATTTACAAGGAGAAATCTAAAACAAAACTTCTGCTGTTTCTAACATTACTTTCAAAAAGTGGCACATTAACTTTGCATCTCAATTTCAAGCTGCAGAGATTCCCAGGGAGCCAAACCCCTTCCTGGAACACTGAGGTCTCTCTGGCATGAACCAGCAGTGCTCAGCCTCTTAACAGATTGGGCAGGTCTTGCAGCATGACAAGGCAACATCAGGAGTACACAGAGAAACTGTATGGAAAATTAATGGGGATGGAAACACACAGGAAAGGGGAATCCAAAGAGTGGTGTTCAGTCACAGACTTTTATCAGTCCACAGCTTTCACATAGAAGGTAACAAAGTGGTTCTGGAGACTCACAGGTAACTTCCAAATTTAAACTAAGCTAAAACCTAATGAGTCCGCTAATACTTCATAGAATCATAGAATAGTTTGGGGTGGAAGGGACCTTAAAAATCATCCAGTTCCAACCCCTCATGCCACAGGCAGGGACACCTTCCACTAGACCAGGTTGCTCAGAGCTCCATCCAATCTAGCCTTTAACACTTCCAGGGATAGGGAATTCACAGCTTCTTAGGCAATCTGTGCCAGTGCCTCACCACCCTCACAGTAAAGAATTTCTTTCTAGTGTCTAATCTAAACCTACTCTCAGTTTGAAGCCATTCCCCCTTGTCCTGTCACTCCAGGCTCTTGTAAATATTCTCTCTCCATCTTCCCTAAAGGCTCCCTTCAAAGGCCACAATTAGGTCACTCTTTTCCAAGCTGAACAATACCAATTCTCTCAGCCTTTCCTCATAGAAGAGGTGCTCTATCCTTAGACTCATTTGGTGGCCCTTACTCAATACAGAACAACATGGCAGTTTCCTTCCTTCTCCTGAATTTAAAGACACATTCCCTCTGAATTCAGCTTCCAGAGCATATCTCAGCATTGGAGGCATCACATTTGTCTGAAACAGTCTCTCTGCTTTCATACAAGTAATCATGTATCACTGTCAGCCCCAAAATTGTCATGTGCCTGTTTGCAGGCACCTTCAGTGTGCATGCTCAAGCTTTTCTTGTTATTATTAAAGACTCTGAGCCTTGAAGAGCTGAAGCAATATCCAGGCCTTCGTAGCACCTCTCAACTCATCCAAGCAGTAGATCAAACAAAGGAAAAAAAAGGCATCTGGAAATTCAATTCCAGGAGGATGTGGGAGGTTAAGAGTAGCATTGTTGGTACTAGAGAAGTCACTCAGGTGGTGTGACTTCAAGTGCATGTGAGTTTCTCATTATACTTCCAACTGAACTAAGATTCTTTTTTGCTTCTACAGTCCCTTGATTTGCTCTGCAGTTTAGCAGATGCGTTCCTTTTACCCAGAAATGGTTCAATCTTCTCTCCTTTCTGGTGATTTATACTTGGGACACTTCAAAGTGGAAACTCAACACCTCAGAAACAATCTGTGTTGAAATACCTTATTTTTGGCACGTTCCCAGCCAGTGAAGTCCTTGGTGCCAAGCTCGGTACCTGAGGAAACACTGCTGAGAAAACACATGACAGAGAATCCATGGACAATACAGAAGAAGGCAGATGTTTGACCACAGCTGTTTTCACTATTAGTAGACTGTGGCCCATTTCCAGAACCAAAAATAACTTGGATTTTATCTGGACTCCAAACTCTTACACAAATACTCTGACAAACTGGCTGCTTGTTTATGAAGATATGCAACCTCAGCAAACCCAGGTGCTTTTCTGTTCTCCCTGCACTCCCAAGAGAAAGCAGAGCTATATGACAACAGTTTGGTTTTAAGGGGAGCAAGGACATCCTAATTTGAGTCTTTGTTTGCATTATTCAAGACTTTGTCTTGCCCAGGTCTCCACTCCTGTCAGCATCTCTGCACCATGAGGACCAGAAAAAAATGTGAGGATCCACCTGGAAAACATCACTGGTGCATAAGTGTTAACTTAGCACCTACAGAGGCAGAAGTGTGCTTTAACATAATGAGCACATGATTTGAGGGTGGCAATTAAAGGAGACTCAGCGAGCAGCAGCACTGTGACTGAACATCCCTTGCATAGTTTGGCCATTGACCTTGCTCACCTAATTCCCAAAGGCACTCGATGGCTTCACCTTTGCTTTAGAGCACCTGGCAATCATAGGAGAGGAAATTCCAAATGGAAAAGCCTGCCCAGACATGGGGCTTCAGCCTGACACTGGAGAAGCAATGCAGATTTGTTACAGAACAATGTTCTGATCCATTTCCAGCAAAAGGGGGATGAGCTGTGCCTCCACAGCAGACTCACCTCCTCGTAGGCACCACAGGAGAGCCGCAATCAAACAATTTACAAACACCTCACTTAAAAAAAAAACACCATAAAGCCTCCTGGCTGCGTGGCACTGTAAGGAGAAAGGTGATCCCTCGGCTTCCCGGGTGAGCTGGGAAGGGTCGAGGACCCAAAGAACCCAAGGATGGTGGTGATGCACTGGCACAGGTTGCCCAGAGAAGTTGTGGATGCCACATCCCTGGAAGTGTTCAGGGCCAGGTTGGACGGAGCTCCGAGCACTCTGGTCTGGTGGAAAGCGGCCCATGGCAGGGGGTTGGAACTGGATGATCTTTAAGGTGCCTTCCAACCCAGGCCATTCCGTGACGCCCAGGCAACGCTCCAGCCACAGGGCGGGCTGGGGGGCGCGTTCAGCTGTATGAAGAAGGAGAAGAAAGCAGCAAAGCCAAGCACTTTTCCCTCCGGCGCGCCAAGAAACCCAGACCTTTACTCACGCGCGAGGCGTCCCCAGAAGCCCGAATTCCCAGGCTTTCCTCTCCCCTTCCCTCCCTCGCGCCTTTCCCGCCGCTCCAAGCCCGGGCCGGGCCCTTCCCCGCCCTCACGCCCCGGGGCCGCCGAGGCATCGCGAGACCCCTCGCGCCGCGAGTCTCGCGCGAGGCGCGCGCGGCGCCACGTGACGGCCGCGGGCGGGGGCGCGTGCGCGCGCGTCGGGTGCCGCTCCACCTGTCACGGGCTCGGGAGGGGCGGGACGGGCCGAACCAACAGGGGAAAGGGGGGGAAGGAGGAAGCCCCTCGCCCCGGCGTTAACGGGCCGCCCGACCCCCGTCGCCTCGGAGCCACCCCAGCCAGCACCGTCCGCGCTCCCCGAAGCCATTATTTGCTGCTTGTGCCAAGTGCGCCGCGCCCAAGGCAGGGCGGGGCGGAGCGCGACGCGCAGCTGGCCCCCGCCCCGCCGGTGGGGCATGGCCCCTTCCTTCAGCGGCGTCCACTCCCCCAACCCGGAGCCCCCGTTACGCAACTCCACCTGAGTCCCTCCTCCTCCCCCTCCCACCCCGCCGCCCGCCACTCCCGACACCTCCCCCCAAGCCCCCGCCGCCCGCTTTTAAAGGCGCACCCCAACCTGCTCGCGTCCGCTAATCGCAAAGCTCGTGTGACCGACGGCGCGCCAGACCTATCACAGACCGCGGATCCGCGAAACTCCGCCCCCTCTCTCAGCCGCCGGCCAATGGGGTGAGGCCGGCGGGGGGGGCGAGCGGCGCGCGCCAACCGCCCCGGAGAGCGCAGCGGCGGCGGAGCGCTGTGACTGACGTAAGTCAACAAAGGTCACGTGGAGCGCGGCGGCGGCGCGGATTGGCCCGGGGGGGCGGCGCGCGCGGGGGGGGGGCGGGGAGGGGCCGAGGGGGGGGGGCTCGCAGCGGCGGCGCGCGCGGGGTCCGCGGGGTGACACAATTGCAACAACTTTGGGCAGCGGCGCCGCCGAAGTTTGTTCGGGCGGCAAAACACGCCCCGGGCCGCGGGGCGGGCGGGCAGGGTGGTCCCCTCTCTCCCGTGCTCCTCGACACCCCAAGTCCCCCCCCCGCCCGCCGCCGAGGGGCTGAGCGGCGATGTAAACACCGCTCCGCCGCCATCCGCAGCCGCCGCCTCCTCCTCCTCCTCCCCCGAGTCTCCAGCGCTGGGGCTCCCTCCCCCCTCCCCTCCCTCCCTCCCTCCTCCTCCGAGCAGCGGGGCTTCCCCCCGCCTCCCTCCCTCCCTCTCCCCTCCCCTCCCTCCCTCCCTCCCCCTCCCTGCCGGCTGTTGTTGTTGTAATAAAAGTTGTGGTGTGTGTGTGTGTCGGGCACCCCGCCCCGCCCGGCGCTGGGGGGTGTTGGGGGCGCGCAGGGAGGGGGGGGTGCGATCCGCGAGTTAATTACGCTGCGTTTCCATGAAATCGTGCGGAGTGTCGCTCGCCGCCGCCGCCTCTGCTGCTCCTTTCGGGGATGAGGAAAAGAAAATGGCGGCGGGGAAAGCGAGCGGCCAGAGCGAGGAGGACTTCGCCAGCTTGACAGCCCAGGAGAGAGAAGCCCTCTCCGGCCTCGACAGGTACCCGCTCCCCACTCCGCCCCGGCCGCCTCCGTGTCCCGGCTCGGCCCGCGCCCCCTCCCCGTGTGTCCCCCCCGCTCCCCTGCCCGCGGCTCCCCGTGTTGCCGCTCCCGGGCCCCGCGCTCTGCCCTCGCCCGCCCGCCGCGCCGACTCTCCGCTAACGCCGGTGCCTCTCTCTCTCTCTCTCTCTCCCCTCCCTCCCGCCCCGCTCCCCTCCTCGCAGCCGGCTCTTCGGATTTCTGAGGCTTCATGAAGATGGCGCCAGAACGAAGGCCTTGCTGTTAAAGGTAAGCGCGAGGGTGGATGTGGAGCGGGGATGGCGCGGGGAGGGGGGGGGGGTGGTGGCGGTGGTGGAGGGGGGGGAAAAGCGGAGGATGGGGGAGCGCGGCGGCCCCGCCGCCCCTTCCCCCGGGACCCCCGGGCCCGCACGGTGAGTGTGTGCGGGGGGTGTGCGGGGGGCACCGACACCTCCCGCGGGGTCCCCCGCGCGTCGCTGCCGCCTTTGCCCCCTTTCCCCACCCCCACCCCCCCCAGCCCGAGCGGGACGAGGGGGGAGCGCGGCCATGCGGGTGTTCCCCGTCCAGCCCCGGGACGGAGAAAGTGGCGGAGCCCCGGGGCCCGGAGCGGACGGGCCGGGGGAGGGGGGCGCGGGGGCGGAGGGGGGGGAGGTGGAGGACGAGGAGGAGGAGGCGGCGGCAGCGGGGGGAGAGGAGGGAGGCAGGGCGCGCTCGGCGCTGCTGACGTTGCCGCTGCCCGGACCCTCCCTCGTGATTTTCGCCCCGGGAGCGGGGCCGGGGCCGGAGCCCGCAGGGGAGCGCGGGGTCCGGGCCGGGGCGGGCGCGGCGCTGAGCGGCCCCCGGAGCCCGTTCGGAGTGACTTGTTTACTCGCCGGGCCCCGCTGCCTTCGCCCGGCCCCGGCCGAGCCCCGTGTGCCGCCCGGCGGCCCGGCCTGACAGCGAGCGGGGCGTCCCGCCCGTCGCGGTGTGTCCTGCGAGAGGTGTTTGCCTCCGCGGAAAGTTGTTGGCCCTGTCATTTAGTTAAGTAATGGCTGCTCCTGTCGGCCCCAAGATGGCCGGACAGGGAGGAGAAAGGGAAGGGGGGGGAGGTAAACACGAAACAAACACCGGGGGAGCGAGTGTGGGGGGAGCGCGGAGCCCCCGGGGAGGGCCGAGGGAAACTCTCCTGCGCATCCCAAGTTCTTTCTGGGCGCTTTTCCTGCTGCTCCGCGGCGCCGGTGCCCTCCTTATCAACCTGTAGCACGTTCTGCTGCCCATCCGTGAGCTGCTGACAAAGGCTGTGCGGGCCGAGTGTCTGCCAGCTGTGCTCAAAACACCAAACGCCAGGGAAACCTTTGGGTAACTGGAAAAGCGGGGCCGTTTTTAAAGTGCCACCCGGCTGAAGCGGAGGGGACGGTGCTCCTCTGATTCCTGCTTCCTGGCTTGTTCCTGTCAGTAGCCTGGCGTTTGACAGTGCTCATCCCATTGTTGTGCCCGGGCTGTGTCGTTGAGGATTATTTTTTTTTTTCGTGTTGCTGGTTTTGGTTGATCTGAAGATCTCACTCCGAACCGTGTTGAATTGGATACCCCAGGGCCTTCCTTGTGTTTGGGTGTTTATTTCTAGCAGGATTGGAAAAGCTCAATGTCAGGACGTGGAGGGGGAGGGGGGAGGGATGGAAGGAAAAGCAAGTACACTTTTTCTTTGTGCTTGTATTTTAAAAAAATCTCGCGGTTTCGTTTCGATTTTCGGAGTTATTTATAAGAGCACTCTTTCCCATAAATCAAAAAGGTAGGGGAGTGACATGTCAGACCAGTTAAATAATGTACGTTAACTGTTGGTAGACCAGAATTCATGTCTGCTCTGTGAATGCTGCTGTGGCTGTCGGAAATATTAGACAGAATTCCGTATGGGATAGAGCTTAAGGATGCCAGATAGCAAATAAAAGCATCATATGTAATTAGATCATCTGTCACATAGCGTCCCTGGTTTAAGTTTTATTTTGTGTACTGTAAAATCAAGTAATGCAGGCAGCAATTCAGCATACTAGTTGAGTTTTGAGTCCTTTCTTACATATAATACATTAATGCTTTTTTTTATGTTAGGCAGTTGTAGTTTAGTATGTACAGTCTGTTGAAGTTGTGGGGCATTTTGATAGTTTTGAAATATATTTCTAGAAATACCACTGTATGTTTTGTGCTCTGTTAATGTATGAATGCATGCAGCAAATACTGAAAAAAACCCTAAGCAACCAAATACTTTGCTGTTTCACCTCAGTTTTCAGACAGCGTTTTGGACATTTATGAATTGCACAGGAACTCACGAAGCTTGTTCTTCATAAAACTTGTCTCTGAGAAAGGTGGATTGTCAAGGAAGTAGAAGGATTAAACCGTTACTGTTCGGTGCAGAGATGTTCGAGAGGGATTTCGTGGCTTGAATCAGTTTCGGTTTTGTTTGTTCTTTTTACTTCCAGGGACTGTGCATGTGCTTCTGCTGCTGTTATCGATAAGTAAGAAGTTGTTATTTTTAAGGTGTTTTCTGCTTAATTCCTTTTCTCTGTGCGTGAGGCTTCGTGCAATTTATGCTGTACAGGAAGGTTTAGGGTAATTAATCTAGCAGACCACTTTAATTCCGTGTAGCAGTTATTTTTATTGTACAAAGTGTGGCCGTATATACGTGCAGTTAATTAATAGGTTTTACAGTGATAGCAACAAAATCTTTCCTTTTGTGCGTGGAGCAACAACAGCTAACAAAGACCCTGGGCTCCATAATTATGAAATCCTGACTGACTGATTTAAGAATCTACAGCACGTTACAATGTAAGATTTACGTGCAAGTGTAGCAGGTAAGGAAAACCATTGAGTCATGTTTGCAGAGGAATCTTTCACAAAGGCAGAAATTTACCCTCAGTGTGAGAGCAGCACACCCGCCACAGAACCTTTTCAAAAGGCTTCCAGGCTGGAGCAGTGACTCCTCTGTGAGGCCTGGAGTGCTTCCTGGGTACCTGTGGTTAAGGTGACATGGGCAGGGTGCCTGTCTGGGGAGACTGGAAAGAGGTCCTGGGTTGTAAGTGTTTGGGGAACAACTCTGTTACCTGCCTGGATACTTGTGCAGCAGGAGGAGTCTCGTGGGCTTCAATTTGGTGCCTCGAGGAGGAACTCCTCGTTTTTGGTGGGGTTCACTGAGGCGTGTGTTGGCTCGAGGCACTTGGGGGAGATTTCAGGAGGCCTTTGCAATGGGAACTCTGATTTAATGAAGCCACACCCTGACAGAATTTAATGAGGAGAAAACTGGGATCTCTTTCAGGGATGGACGAAGCTTTGTGTCCAGAGCTTTAACGTGGTTGTTGGTTTTATGCGTGCTCCAGGTCTGGGCTGCAGCCCCCCTGTTCTGGTAGTTTTGCTTTGTAGGATGTATGGCTGTGGTATCATGAACTAAGATAAGTCCTGCTGCTGGGTGCAGCAAATCAGAAGAGCATATAAGACATCAGATCTATACAGTTTTATGAATTATTGAAGGTATAGACTAAAGGTCAGGAATATTGTATTGTTGCTCCATGTATTGGATATGCAATAAGCCAGAAGAAATCAAACTTTCCTGTAATGGTGTACACGCTGTCAGTGTGTGTGACAGAGGAATGGAGTTTGCTGCTGCCAAAAATTTTGTGTTTATTTTGCAGAAAAGGAGCTTGAAAATCATAGTTTGCAGCTAGTGTGGTTTTGGGGGAGTGGAGGCGGAAATTGAGAGGGAGATCACCTTTCAAACTGGTTGAAATGCTGGAAATCCAATGTAGCCAGTCTTGTGTATGAGAAAGTGCTCACTATTATGCTTCTGTAGTTGACAAGAACATTAACGTGAAGGAGGAAAAAAACCCCAAAACAAAAGCCCTGCTGCTATCTTGAGATCTGTTTCTCCCAGGAAGGCATTCTGGCAGGAGGTGAAGCTTAAAGATTATTTGGGGGGGGGAGGGCGAGGACATCCATTGTATTGGAAGTGAATTGCAAAGCATTTCCTTTTTCTTTCTTTCT